GGTCGTCAATTCGGCCGAACAACTCCGGGTAACCATTTGAACCGTTTCTGAAAGTGATGAACTCAACGATACAGGCGCTATTCCTTCTTACAAATGATCAAGCTTTTGTTATCGGCGACTGTTTCGTTCACTAGAGGCTTCTTTAAGCACGTTGTGCACATCAGATGGAAGAAGTTACGCATTATCATAGGATTTTCCTTTTTCTAAATCCCTTCAGCTTTCTGAGTCTCCCAAGCTTTTTATGCTCTTTTCCATGTAAAGTCTGACAGGTCGTCAAGTGGTACTATACTCCTGACCAGGAGGAATATGTATCCCAGGTTTGAGAATTTTTGGTGTTGCTTGAGATCCAGTGCCCAGATACAGTTATTCCACCATTTTGCAGGTGGAGCTCCCAGAATTAAGAACAGCAATCCCAGTAAGTCGACATTAAAAGACTTGTTGTCTAAAATTGACTTAAGCATGTGTTTCTGGTAGGTTTGATTCACATGGGGCTAGTGGAGCTTGTCAATAGTCAAACCAAGTGTGCGTATCTCACGCGGCCCTGAAAAGCCAAACGACAAACAGCAACAAGCGAGCAACAATTGAGGAATGACACACGTCACCACTATTTGATGGCGGTTTTCGACCACCGATGCCTGAAGTGCGTCGGATGGTACCAACAGATCCGTAATGAGGTAATCAGAAAACTGGTATTTGGTTATGCGGTGGCTACTTCAATCGCGGAAAACGTCCAAAACCAGCAACTGCGGGGGCTATACCGTATGCTGTGCATGCCGAAATTCCGTCCTCCGAAACAGGTGCTGTTCTCGATGCCTCTTTCAGAATGCCGTAGAGCGCGGGGTATGAAAAAGATGACCAAGAGTTTTGGTGTTGCTGGTGTGGTCCAGCTTCTAAAAAGTTGTCCAGGTGAATGCGTTTCAAGAGATAGCAGCTGATTAGTGTCAGCGGCTTTCGTGTTGTCTATTTCCAGGCTTTTATTATAGTTAGGTAGACATTTTGGTCCACTGTAGTCAACCCTGACTTTTCTGTCTCTGATAATGATGAAAACTAGTTCTAGTAGACCTGTTTCAGTTCCGGGGATCCTGCGCATCCCCAAAAAATGCAGCGGTAAAAAAATAATGAGCAAGCGCGTGATTCGAACCCAGTGGTAATTAAACAACGCCACCTCTAGCTCTTTGTGACGTGGTCTATCTGCGTTGAAAGTTAGCTGAAGCGCGAGAGCCACAGTATGGCCAAGTGGTTTCGGCTGTTCCAGGAGTTAATACTGGATAAAAACGATCTGTGGTCAGCACCTAACGGTAACATGTATTCGTCGTTGTCGGTTCCTATTGATCCTAGTCTAAGGTGAACACGTGATTCAGCCTCAACAATGCTGAACCCACCTACGTGTGCATTTATATCAATATAAATGCAAACAGGGCAAACACAACACTTGAGCCCTTAGCCAGCTACAGAAAAGCACTTATAGTGCTGTCAATACCGTCTTTGTGTAAATTGAAGCTTTGACCTGTTAGAACTTAAGCATATAGAATAAGAGGGCGGCAAGCATCGTGCGTTTACAAAATATCCTCACAAATTTTCTCACACAAAACACTACGGTAACATGTATTCATCGTTGTCGGTTCCTATTGATCCTAGTCTAAGGTGAACACGTGATTCAGCCTCAACAATGCTGAACCCACCTACGTGTGCATTTATATCAATATAAATGCAAACAAGGCAAACACAACAACACTTGAGCCCTTAGCCAGCTACAGAAAAGCACTTATAGTGCTGTCAATACCGTCTTTGTGTAAATTGAAGCTTTGACCTGTTAGAACTTAAGCATATAGAATAAGAGGGCGGCAAGCATCGTGCGTTTACAAAATATCCTCACAAATTTTCTCACACAAAACACTAAAACAGTACCACTCAGAGGCCCTTCAGCTTAGTGGCTTAGAGCGATGCCGGTCGTAGCAGAATCTGTATAACAAGAGATGCGCAAGCCCACAGGAATTTCTATAGCAACAAAGTGAAAAGGAGGAAAAGAGCAACTACGTGAAAAAGATGGAGGAGTGCGTCGAAAGTATCTTGTTTATGCTCACCCGTCTTGTTGTATGCCACAAGTAGGACGATTCGGCTGATAGCCACACACAAATGCCAATGTGTTATGAGTTCACATGTAGATGCACAGTTAGTTGTAGTACGTTGGCTGAGATGAGAATCAAATTCCAAGACATGGACAATAGGATCCTTAACTAAAGACTCTGCCTTAAAATCTTAATTGCAAGACAGTAGTGGTTGACTTAAAAACATCAGAGAAGCCTACCGTTTTAAGGAGTAAGCCAAAACATTGTTCCCAGTCTCAACCTATAGAGCCAGGAAAATGCAGTGGTCAGACCTCAGCCAATCGACCAACCTCGTATGAGGGACTCTGTGAGTGCCACAAGTATGCCTCCTAGTGTAGCTCCGTGATTTATGAGAGCGCATAAACCATTACACCACTGTACGGTTCAGTCTGTTCGCGACGGACATGAAGACACTGGTTAAGCCAACTGCCCCATAACTCTCCACTTGTCTCCGCTCACAAAGTTCCGAGGGATCCAGAAGCCGCTGCGGCAGGCTGTGCAGGGATCAGCATTATTCTAGGTCCTTGCACGACTGGACTTACGCTGATGGTAGCCACCTCAGTGCGGTTCATCTGGCATGTCGTATCCAATCCAAGACAAGATAAATGGACCTCTGCAGCGCTACAATACCTGCTTGTGCTTTCATTTTACCAACATCCACAACGATGTCTTCAATTTTGCCCGTTGTGAAAGAGCATTTAAGACATCACGGAAACTATCACTGAAAGATTCAGAGTCACAGCTCTTTAAGGAGTAAGCAGGTAAAATAAGCAAAACCAATAGAACACTCTTTTGCAAGACTCATTCACAGTGATTATACTACCAACCTCGCGGCGACCGTAAACTGGTGCCGAAAGTGTATCCTTTCAACGACTCAACACTGGCTCCACCACGGCATACCCAACTGCATGGACCTACATATCACTGGTGATGCGTCACCGAAACCAGATAGACGGTACGAGTCAGTCAGTCTAGCTACAATACGAGTGTTCTGAGGCCTTGTTTCTATTAGACAGCACAAATTTGTGCACGAGACACATCCACCTGCTTTAGTTGGCGACTACAAAAATAAGACTAATTATGTCGACTTTATGAGCTTGAAATCTAGCTTAAAATGTTTGGAGTTGTTATTGAGGACTGGTATACGGAAGTTACAGTTGGGCTTGATCCAGTGCAAACAAAGCTGCCAGTCTTATTGCTAACTTTTACAAATGGCAGTTGCAGTGAGATGTAAGACGAGACGGAGTATTCTAAGGTGTGAGAAAGTATGTGTCAGCCGGAGCACGTTTTGTTCACACACTCCACTCTATGCAGCAAACTAAACGAGCAGAATGATGCATCCATACAAAATCTTGTGTGGCAGGTCGCTTGCTTTAGGTGTGACGTTTACTGTGCAGATTCGCGAAAGTACTGTCGGGGCGCACGCAAAAACACGACAACGATTATGATCCTTGATCATAATCTTTGGCTTAAAAGCCTGACAGCCAGGTGCTATGCAGTTATCGTCAGACAACCACAGTAATATGTGTTTTGGTAAAAATGTAAAGGTGCATACCCCATGCTGAGATACAACAAGGCGGTGGTTGTCGTAGTCCTGTCCACTCTACGACTTTATTCACTGACCATTTTAACATTGGAGAGACTCTGCGGACGTGAAACTGGAACTCTCCAATATAGCTCAGTAGGTGACAGAAGTATATAAACTCTAAACCGCTATAGGTGTGTATCAGATTTTCGTCTTCCAATCATTCAATTTCATCACCACCATTTGCATTAGACTTGACATCCAGAAAATGCTAGTTTCAAAGTGCGGTAGGTTTTTTTTAATCCGGTGCAGATAATTTTACGTTTATTTTCCAATTTCTCTGTAGCCTATGACACCTTTTGCCGCGACATGTGTGTATAAATTTGGCGGTTCCTGCATTCATTTTGTTCCCCATAGTTATGTCTATAACTGATATTCCAGTGTTAAAGAATATGATTTAACATCATGTTAGGACTTGCGTAATGTTTTCTCGCAGTCTCCCGGTTTGCATCATTATTGCAGGCTCTGCGTTACTGATACTTCCGAGCCGGTTGCATAGGAATCCAGAGGCCGATCAGTTTCGTGTAGCCCATTGACAAAAGGTGAACGCTTATTGTTTAGCGGAAAAGAACGGTGAACGAGGTCGTCATGGGCGTTTAGGGAAGGCGCGCGGTTAGAACCTTAACAAGTTGCTACCGTGTATGGATTACATCGGCAAAAGCAGTGACTTAATAAAAATGACACATGGATACGCAGGCGGATGCATTTGCGTCCAGCCTTGGAGATATTCCACTTGCCTTACACTTTTAATCAAACACAAAACAAATCGGTTGTTATCAGACTTTTCCTGGACTGCTTTGCCCGCGCACATGTATAGCTAACAACAGTGCATTTCAGTCGATTTTCCCAACGGTAGGCCATCTTGTCTTCGAAGAGCGTATTTATCAGCACTATGTCTCACAGTAGCATAGAGATGGATCACAGTCAGTAATGAAATTCAAAACTTTCTGGTATCTTTTTTGAGGACCCTATGTGATTTCTTCAGAAACTTCTCATTTTGGTTCGCCCTGTCTGAAATGTAATCTAAATTCGAACTCTATTCAGCATTAAAACGTCTTTCTCTCTTGGGCAAACCAAACTACTGAGAAGAAGCGAAAACAAATTCGATACAATGACAACACTAACTGAAAACGCTCCTTCCATTTGTGATGTGAGGACGGCGCGAAAGTCAGGAGGCTTTTCGAAATACGCACTCGTCCTTGAGGTCACAGTCCATGTGATACAGCATTAAGCGACTGGTTTGGGTCCCGATCCAGGATCGGAATAGTATCGGAATTAACAGTGGTTTAGAAAACTTATCCACGTACTTGACCGCTCTGCCATCGGAGGATCACTCTCAACATTAGGTGTTGGAGACATCGGTGAGTGGTGCCCTCTAAACGGGACCTGCTTGTGACTACTTGAAAATTTCAAATACGTCCAGGGCTGTACAGCGATATAAAACCACAAGTTCGCAGAACCGCTCCGTCTGAAACCTACGTGTTTATTTTCGTGTGGATGTGCTAAAATTAAATGAGTTGAACTCACTTCCCCAGGTACTGAACCTGAGGGTTGGGCACACGCACGTTACCAGGAAAAATCGAGTACTATTTGTGGTCGCATGCATATCTCAAATCATACGTTGTTTTATCAAAGCTCAAAAACAGATAAGACTTAGGAAGGAACGGGAAACACAGCAGGTAGGGCTCCACCGAACTGGGTTCTATGGCTTTCGATTAGGAGGCCTTCATTCCGGCATACGGCATCAACGTTACAATATAGGACTCTGCACCACCGAGAAAAACGTGTTTTAGCCACAGATTAACATAGACCGCCTGAATGAGCGTTTCAAAGATTCGTCAGGCAGTAAGCTCTGTGGCAGCGAGTGAGAGTGTAGCGGCGTTTGAAATATGGCAATATATGGCATCTACGGGGAAGGCGATTTTAATTTGAGGTTGGAAGTAAACAAGATAACCGTTAACGGAAGGCAGCTGTAACGTGATGGGCCTCCCCATGGACGTTCTCGGGGAGACCTTCCCACACCTAGGCCACAAGAGCATGGAAATGCCTCTGTCTTATCGGGTTTCGAAAAGGTTATGTGTAGCTGGCGAGAGAGCGATTCACGCCTACAGGGAATGGGGTGGCACAAAAGGCGAAAAACTCTGGTGGCCCTTTCAAGGGAGTGAAAAGTAATCGGGGGTGAGAGAGCCTTGGCACCACCAGGGCAATAATGACTTAATGCCGCCGAACTGTAATAGTCCAGATGGTCACTGATGCCTCCTTAGTCCATGGTGAGATAGTGGGGCGTTCGGAAGAAGCCACTTGGATTTTTTCCTGATTTTAATGGGGCATATCGTCCCAGGATTCCTGAAAACCAGTGTCATCAGCCTATTGTGAAATCAGCTGATCTCTGAAATACCAGAAATAGACTAAGGGCTTATTTGTCTGGCAATGGGACGCGTGGATTATGTTGTCAAACGTAGAGAAGAGGATGTCTATCTAAACCACTTTTCATTATGGCGCAGTTTTACAGCTGGTTAAACCGACTGTGGGGAACTTGCAGAATCCTTTGTGATGGAAGTTTTGCAACGTAGCAGCGTCCCTTACAATCTAGGTAGAATCGGGTACTGGACACTGCAAAAGAAATTCTTAGAAATGCTCCACTTGAATGATCGCCTAGAGAAGGCTGGCGAGTGGCGGGTTCTATGATGTTGAAAGTTTTCCTCAATTCGAAAAACAGGTTAAACGAGGGGAATTACAATATATGGCCTTAATATGGAAAAACTAGAATAAACCAACTACGTGAACACGTTGCACACATGCATCACACTAAAGAAGGGAACAGCTTCTTGGGATTTTTCATGACAAAAATGTTCAACGCGTGACAACTAAGTGAGCGAACATGAGGAAACACGGGTGGAATCGGACAAACTTCATAGTACATCTGGGTGCGTCTAGATATTCTCTGTCGTTACGCAGCAAGGAAATTCATCAAATAATTCTGCATTATCCACTGAGATGATACGGGAAGCAGCTTTACCAAAGTACAGTTAGCTTTGTTGACCTTTGACAGCTTTTAAATGGAATCCGTCGTTGCAGGTGACATAGTTCCCAGAGGCACCTGTAAATCATGATCCTGAATCCTGAGGACGATTAAAAATTCGTCCGACAGGATGGGTAAGAATGCTTCGCTTCAGTGCAGTTAACAAAGGTACGTTGAAAAATCTTCCGGAGGGCCGTGGAACTGTACATTCTCTTGCAAGTGTCGCAGACAATAAATATTATGCTGATTCTGTCTCAACCCGTGTTGTTTCTGGAACATGTTACCAAAAATCTCCGTTGGTTGTGATACACCAAGCGCTTAAGTTCGGGACAAGATATTAGATACAAGGGGGCAACGAGCCACCAGCCATACCGTGAAACTCGAGGCCACTATATAAGGATCTCCGAAGGTCTTCCGCATGTCGTTGGATTTGAGGGTGAGCCATGGTAATACTAGTAATAATAACGTACGTTTCCAAATGACGGGCTCTCTACTGTGAGGTGTGATCTTAGTAATGCCACCAGAACGATTAGTGTAACAGACGGCAGTTACGGACGGAGTGATAGCTATACCAAATCAGGCGTATACCGAACTCGACACGATCAAGACAAAGTGCGCATCGAGAAAATTGAGGGGCGGACAAGGGACGTTGAAACAGTATGGCTGGAAATAGTGAAATGAGAAAAAATGGACATCAGATTGCCACGAACAGATTTGACGAATCTTGATAAAATTTGGAAAGTGTCATTTTTAAACTAAAAGTGATAACCGTCGAAAAATTCGGCTGAGTGCAGGTAGCCGGAGTATTGGCTCAATCGAAGTTAGTAGAATGGGGATGATGAACTGCGCCTTGGCGGATTGCGGGGGGATGGCCTTTCAACGGGGAAATGGGGGCTATATTAGAGACAGTTATTTTCGGTGATTCTGAGAAAGGTGAGGCGTTCGTAGTCAGACCTAATGAGGACCTAATAGTTCTGATACCGAGCAGTACCAGATGACCATTATTTAAGGAAAACTGAACCCGATTGTAGAGACGACAGATACAACTTAGAGATGAAAGTTTACATGAATCGAAACATTTAGTTAAACTTTCATGTGAAAATGGTTCCGGGCCAGATCGTCCCGATAAAAACAAACCAAAATTACATTTCCTTAAAATGCTGGGTTTTCAACGTTGGGAATTTCGTGGCATCCTAATGGTGCCTGACTACACGTTTCAGTAGTACGCTGTTTGGTTGAACAGATTTCAAGGTCACCACCCAAAACCAATACGAACTTGTTCAATAGTTTACGCGGCCGCGTCCAAGACGCACACCCAAAACTTTCATGAAAACTTGTTTTGAAAAAGGGAAACTTCAAAATAGATTTCTGGCATTTGACGGTAAGTATTCGGGCATCTAAGATCACTCCACGCGGTCGCAATTTTTTAGACAAACTCGGAGTCCGCTGCGCGCGTAAAATTCGTATTTCAATTGCCGTCTGTGACTTGGAGCATTGCCTCTATAAAAACGGTCGGAACTTTTGTGGAAAGGCTAGTTCCTTCGCGTGTTTTCTTGCGAATTGGACTTGGAAATAATCTCAAATCGACGTAGGCAATAATCACGGCCAAACTCAAATTGGAGCGGCAATTAGCGACCTGGACAAGGAAAACTATTTTATAGTTGCGGCAAGCGTCCTGCCGAAGTCAAGAAATTCGTCACAGCTGGCAAGCTTTTTATGGTGGTCAGCATTCGTCATAGTTGGCTTAAGGCAAGGTTTGCTATTCATCGATATACCGAGCCGCAAATAGTGCCGTTGACTGAACCATTGGGCTTGTATGCAGAACAAGCCGACGGTGCAATAAGATGGCCTCTGCTTTTAGGTATTTGCACAAATTAAACGGACTGAAGTGGTCATGTAGGTAACACGCTCGTCTGGAAAATATTAGAGATATAGTAAACTACGAGCAAGCCACCAGACTGGGTATGGTAGTCGCGGTACCGCCAGCGCGACGCCGTACTTGGATTCGTGAAAAGCTACGCACATGGACATCTTGAATTAGCCGTTTAGGGATGCGATTGCAGTAAGGATATTCCTGACTCCATCAATGGCTCACGGTGATTCATTGCTCCATTCAAACGAGGCAATGTGACAGTCGCGTCTTTATTGGGGACTCAAAATATGGAAAAGTGCCAAGAGGGGCCCGCTGGAAAGAAATGTGATGTGAGCTTGAATGCTGCCCGAAATAACAGGCAGTCTGAGGTTGTCTCAATTTTTAACTACTTCAATGAAGCGACACTGCGCGATTTCAATGCAGCAATTACTATTCAGGCGCAGACAATAGGTACGCGGTCAATGCGAACTGGTGTGGGCAAATGCGTTTATGAGGGATGTGCATCGACTAGATTGTACCTACCTAAGATAGCGCGAAGCTTGCAGAGACACGAGATTCGAGATAATTGGTTCTCTTGCTTGTTTGTGCGACGAGCTGACCTCAAAGGAGAGCTGTTACAGCATGAAGAAAAGTATGGACCTTCGTCATTCCAGCTGTGTTCGAAGCGTCATATCGCATGTATTTGGTGAGCCTCTGTTAGCATTTTTGCTATTCTATCAACTAATTTTTCGATGCATATTTGCACTGCTTGGGATATATGCCATAGCCAGAGCAGGCTCAGACCGGTAACGCATCCGACAAAAGTTGATTTCATTTTACTTTTCTCCTTTATTGCAGAGGGTAGATTATGATGTTTATCATGTGGAAGGAGTATCCATTTGGGAGGCGTGCAGTTGTCAACCGCGCAGCCTGTCGGCGAACCCGTAAGGCGACATTTAGATAGCGGTTTCCCAGTTGTGCACCGGCAATTTCCACTGAGGAATGTATCCTTGCAGTCTCCAACTGAATCAATAACATCACCTGAGACAGACCGATGGCATCAGGTTTGGCTATCTTATTGGGCTCATTTATTGGTATATGGCCAACATGGTTTCAGAAGTGAACACGGGTTGCGCTACTTAGACATGTACGATGTGTTGCACGAAGCTCACCAGGGTGGCCCTTATTTTTTAGGTTGCTACTGTGGTTGAGTATGTGGTTGTTACGAGCTTCGATAAGGACGACCAAGCTGCCGATTTCATCGAGCTATATTGGATGGGTATCAGAGAGCAGAAATTGGGTGAACTTATTGTTATTGAGCTCCAAACGAACAGATATGATGCTAATCACCCGCTCACTACGGCTGCATCCATGGGTGCACGTTTGTAGATGCGTTTGGCCCTTGGATCCTAGGGCTCAAGACCACACCGCTTGGTCTCACGAACGACAAGTATACACCCCTATTTAGCTTAAACTTCGGTGTGC